CCTGACGAGCCACGACTGGGTACTTGAGAACTCTCACGAGTAGACGATGAGAGGCTCATTAGATGAAGTGGTCTACTCAGGCAGTCCGTGGCCGGACGGCATCGACACATGATTTCGCTTTGCCCAACCGTCCAGCTACAACGGATCCAAGACACTGTAATATTGGGTCCACGGCCAACAACGTGCAGCCTCGCAGAAGGTTAGCGTGAACATGAAATGAGAAGGCCTCCGAGACTGGGTGAGGAGGAGGAGGAGGAGGAGGAGAACAAAAAATGATGGGAAAGAGTGAGCGAGGGGAAAGGTAGGGGGCGACAAGGAGAAGGAGGGGGGAGCACGAATGCGACACATTGCACGAATGTCGTGCTGAGCACGCTTTTCAACTTCGACGCTGTGGGAACACAGAACCACAGGAAGATTGCTCATAGGCGGAAGCGATTGCATGTGGGCAAGTTAAACTCACAACCACTGTTCAACACTGTGAGACAGAATGGCAACGGCGACGATTGAGCTGCAGGAAAGATAGACTTCAACCAATTCTGAGCGGCTTGGTGACTTCGTGCCCCTTCTTGGGAGCCTCTTGGATCATCACGTGGACGCTGCGGACCTATGGATTACCCCCAACGGCTTCCCCGGAGTCTCTGCCAAGCGAGAGCGACAAGATGTCTTCCCCTGGATGATCCCCAGCGGCTTCCCCTGGATTACCCCTCCCGCCATCTCATCCAGACACGAACCCATCTCGAAAAACGCCATGCGACAGCTGATTGCAGCTCATAGACTCCCACACCTCACCTCCTCCCCCTCATTAATGACTATCCATGCCCACCCTCCTCCCTCAGGCGCGGGCGCGCACTGCGCCCATGACATGACATTTGCCCGCTGGGCGCTCCACCCGCATCTCACGTGCCTGTCGACGAAGGGAAAAGTGAATGAAGAAAAGGAAGCGCGATGATTGCGACTACTGAGGGTAGCTATGTTCCACCTGCGCATTGGATGCAAACGCGCGCTATGCCATCGAACCGATGGTCTGCGCATTGCGCACCATACTGCGGCCATGCCGCTGCAATGAAAAACGTGCACATCGCCGACGAAATCAAACACTTTACTGCACCAGCTGAAGTGCACCACGCATGCCTCGGTAGTGACAGCTGTTCGCAGATGCACAGTCCGCAGAGTGCCACGCACAGAGCTGCGATTCTAGGTCGAGCATCTCGAACGGGGGCAGCCGCGGCGGCCCGGCCCAATCTGCACGGATGCTCTGTGACAGCAGCGCCAGCGCCGTGTCAGCCCCAGCCAAAGTCACGCTGCGACCCACGAGCAGGCGAAGTGCCGCCAAGCCCGTAGAACCAGCGAAGCCGCGGGTCGCAACTGTCGTCCACTGCGCCAGCTCCAGCTGCGACAACAACACCGGCATGAATTTAGCGGTGTATCCCCCGATTGGCAGACCAGACCCGCACAAGGCATCCATGGCGCTCGACGCGTTGCCTTCTTGAAGTAGAGCGTGCGCCCCTGGAGCTCGGCGTGCAACACCAAGCACTAAGGATGCAAGCCGTCGAGCTTTGCGCCGAGCATACGCCTGGGTGCCTGTGAGAAGCGAACGCCCGCGACAAACACGAATGCTGGGGTTCGCTACCTGCACATCATCCGCGCGCGCTTGCAAAAGTCGCCTCACCAGATCGCCGCGATAGGATGCGGTCGTGAGGGGAACGCCCACGGCCTGCACCCATGCGTCCGTCCAGAGCAAGCAAGCAGCGCCGACAGCAGCCAAAAGGGCTACACCACTCGTCCTCAAGCGCCGCAGCTGACAAATAACTGCGTGTACATCACGAGTGACGAGACACGACACGCCGAACGGGATGAAGTCGACGACCCTGTCGCCGCTCCGAATCGCCCGCTGGCTGCGCGTGATGGTGCTCTTGAGCCACGAGACGAAACTAGCACTTCTGACGTTGGTCATTCGGCGCAGGATATTGCCCTTCCGCTCCCGTAGGCCTGACTGCTGGCGAACTTGGCGAGCATGGTAGCGCCCAGACATATGGATGTCATACTTGCACTTCCGCGTTCCGACACGGAGGGCCCTCGCACTCCCTAGACAGCTCACACCAACATTTCCATGCCCACCGCTCTACGATGTTGGAAGGAAAAGCGTCCGTGCGGAGCTAAGCTCACAGCGAAACTGATGGGCGGAAAGAACTCACAGTCACTGGGAGATTGCTCGTAGGCAGCAGCGAGTGCTGCTGGCCGAGCTAAGCTCACAGCCACGCTTCATTACTTTGAACCAGAATGGCAACAGCGACGACAACAGTGCAGGAGATAAACATTTGGGATTCTCCTGAGACCCTGGAAGACTTCCTGGCCCTTCCTAGAAGCCTGTGGGGCCTGACGAAGTGCTGCGTACCCTCTGCTTTTCCTCAGCCAACTTCTCGGGGGCCTCTACAACCCGAGACCGCGCCATGTCGGACCGCATTGTTTCGGAACCCCGCTGGGAGGTAAGAAATACAGAGAAAAAGAGTTAAGACATATATCAGGAAGATCACCAAACATAAGAAAGGAGCAGGACGACAAGGAGGGGGAAGAAGTGCGTCGACAATGGGTCGTCGTCCACGGCGTTGTGGTACTCATCGTCGTCGTCGTGGCCGTCATCTTCGTCGACGTCGTCATCCCTTTGAACCCACTTGGCACGAACTGAAGATGCCCCCAAGAGGCCCCCAAGAGGCCCCAAGAGTCTCCCAGACGCCCCCCAAAGGCCCCACGAAGAGCCCCAACGACTCACTCCAGGACGAGGGGCCCCAACGACTCACACCACGAGAAGCCCGAACGACTCGCGCGCAAAGAGATGCCCGAGCGACTCGCACCGAACGGGCGCCCCGAAAGACTCACACCCCGGGGGGCCCGGACAACTCACATGCAAGGAGGCGCCCGAACGACTCACACCAGGACGAAGGGCCCGAACGATTCACACCACGAGAAGCCCGAACGACTCACGCTCAAGGAGGAGCCCGAACAGCTCACACCAGGACGAGGGGCCCGAACGACTCACACCACGAGGAGCCCGAACGACTCACACACAATGAGGGGCCCGAAGGACTCACACAAGGAAGGACGAGAAGCCCCAACGACTCACATTACGAGGAGCAGGAACGACTCACATATCTGCAACGGAAGAGAACCGAACTCCTGCATTATCTCTCAGGATCATGAACCCCAACGACTCACACCACAAGGAGCCCGAACGACTCACAAACAAGGAGAGGCCTGGCCGACTCACACCAGGACAAGCTGCCCAAACGACTCACACCACGGAGAGCCCGAACGACTCACACGCAAAGGCGCGCCCGAACGACTCACACCAGGACGAGGGCCCCGAACGACTCACACCACGAGGAGCCCGAACGACTCACACACAAAGAGAGGCCCGAACGACGCACACCAGGAGGAGAGGCCCGACCGACTCACACCACGAGGAGCCCGAACGACTCACACACAATGACGGGCCCGAAGGACTCACACAAGAAAGGACTATGGGCCCCAACGACTCACACCACGAGGAGCCGGTCCAAGGGGGTCGAATTTGGCGGCCAAACAGGGGGGGGGGGGTCGGACCCCCCCTCTTTTGAAAGGGGGGGAGGGGGGAGGGGGTTCCCCGACGACAGACCGGGACAGGGTGGGAGGGGGGGGAGTCCCCGACGACGGATCGGGAAAGGGGAAGAGGGGGGTTCCCCGACGACGGATCGGGGAAAGGGGGGGAGGGAGGGGTCCCACCCCCCCCTCCTTGGGGTCATCCAGCGGCGCGCCCTCCTTCACTTGTCCAAAGGTCACTCTCGCGTGCAGCCGAACTCAAGGGAGGAAAAGTCACCCGGATCCTATCATTGGCGTCTGCTGAACGGCCCTGTGCGTCTTTTGAACCTCCCTGCCCTGTTCACTGCCTCCTCTGGGCGCGTTTACGAGACGACCTCGCGTGTCGGGGTGGCTGTTCTGGGGGCGGACTTCCTCGACATCTAACTGCGGATCTGTTCGCCGCTCGTGACCGCCGCCGCGCCCTCGCGCGCAGGCCGTCGGCTCGGGCGTCCCAAAGGCGCACGGGCCCACATGGCGGCCGCCCGCCCGCGGCCGGCGGCCCGCGGCCATGCGGGCGCCCCTGCTGCCGCCGACGGCCCTGGGCAGCCCCTTCGGGGCCCCGCCCGCGGTGGTCTCTGGCGGCGGCGCGGCCCAGGGCGCCCGGGGCTCCGATGGGGGGAAATGATGGGCCTGTTTTCCGTCACCACCACCACCACCACCACCACCACCACCACCACCACCACCATCACCATAAATTGGAGGGGCAGGGGGTCCTCCTCCTCCTCCTCCTCCTCGTCGTCGTCCTCCTCGTCGTCCTCCTCCTTCCCCCCTCCAACTTGTGGTGGTGGTGGTGGTGATGGTGGTGGTGGTGGTGGTGGAAAACAGGCCTATCAGGAAAGGTGCCAATACTGCTACCCTCTATTCGTTTTGGGCCTCCTCGGAGGCCCTCTTCGTCCCCACCGCTGGATTCGCCCCGAAGTCCCAGTTTGAACGCGCCCCGGGAGGAGTCCGGGGAGTAGTGGTATCGGTGCCTTTTGGTTTCCCCAGAGCAGGGCGTTTGGGCGACTCGCACGGGGGGGCGAGAAGGGGGGGCAGCGAGGGCTGCAGAAAAAGTGCCCTTTGGGGCCCCGAATGCGCCCTTTAGGGTCCCAAACGGGCCCCTCAGGGCCCGAGAAGTGTGTGCCTCTATCTCCCCCCCCTGGAGGGTTTCTCCAAAGGGCTTAAGCGACCCGTCCTCCTCCTTCTCCTCCTCCTCCTTCTCCTTTTCCTATCTCCTCCTTTTCCTCCTCCAGCTCCTCCTCCCCCTCCTCCTGCTCCTCCGCCTCCTCCTCTTCCTCCTCCTCCTCCTCCTCCGCCTCCTCCTCCTCCTCTTCTTCCTCCTCGGGTCGCCTACGGCCCCGGGGGAAACCGTGCACCCCTTTTCCCATTGATCGCCCACCCCCCAGGAAGCGACGCCCGAGGCGGGGGGGCGGCGCCGAGCCTGCAGGAGTCCCTGCCCGGGCCCGCCCTGCCCGCCGCTCCCGCTGCTCTCCTCGGCAGGGAGGTGCGAGCCCAGCCCTCGCCGAGCCACGCGTCGGGCTCGATATGGGCGGCGGGAGCGGGCTCTGGCATGCGTCGGGCACGCGGCGGAACCCTGGCCCTGCCTCCGCCTCCCGAGTCGATGGTGACTGGGGGGTGGGGCTCGGATGTCGCCACGTGTCTCCCCTTACAGCCCAGCTGTCGAGGCTTGGCATCGCTCGGGCGGGTGCACTTTTTTCTCGGCCAGAAGCATCGAGGACCACCCTGGACCATCGAGCAAAAAAAAGACCGGCACGAAACCGAACAATCGCACGGGAAATGGACGTCCGAGCGATGGCGAGGGGGGGGGACGAGGGGAGGGGCATTGGGACAGGGTGAGTTACGCGGGCTCATGCGTGCAGCTGGCTTCGGCTTCGCCGCCTGGCGTTCTCCTTTATACATCGGCGCCTCTGGCGCAAGGAGGCGCAGGAGAATCAGCTGCGCGAGCTCGTGCCCAAACCCCGCCTTCCGTGGTGGTGGCACCGCCCCCCCCCATACCTCTACCACCCCGCCTTTCCTGACCGCTGCCGCCCGCCACCTCCCCCTCCCCTTTTCAGAGGAGGGCCAGTTGAGACAGCATCAGTTGGCCTTCGGGGGGGGGGGGCCTCGTCGTCACGGTTGGACGCAGCTCTATACATTGGTGCGGTTTGGCCCCGGGGGCCCCGGTCCGGGGACCAGTTGATCATGAGTTGCCGTTGTCTCCACTCGCCCTCCTTGCCAGGGGGCAAGGGTCTTGGTAGAATGCCCCTGGCGTCTACAGGAGCCTTCTTACGGTCAGGATGTTTTGCCTAGCGTGTCGCTCCGCCAGTCGTGGCCCACGCTTTGGCGCGACACGCTGACGAAGTCCCAAGCGACATGTTGCCCGCTTGCACCGCAGAACGTTCCTGATCGCAGAGGCTTCCAGGCAATTCGAAGGAGGCACCTGCCTTCTTTGAAGCAACCCCGCTTTCTTGGAAGGCCGCCCCACTCGCGCCGCCCCCGTTTGCGCGCCGCCGTCGCTGTGTATTGGCCTCATCCTCCTGGCTTTGCTCGCCTCCGCTCCCGCCACCGCTGCTGACCATCCCCCATCCCCTTCCCTCTGCCCCCTCCTGCTCTACCCGCTTCCTCCTCCTCCTCATCCCCCTCTTCCTCCACCACCTCTTCTCCTCCTCATCCTCCGCCTCCTCCTCCTCCTCCTCCTCCCCACTGGGATCGGCGTATCTATCGATACTCTGTGTGCGTGGCCCCTCCACACGCGACGCGCGCGCCGCGAAATCTTATCGTGCAGTCTCCGTGGCGGGCGCGTTGCTGGCCGTACCGCTTGGGACACCTTTTTTTGCATTCACTACAAGCTGGGTATTATGTACGTTCGGGTCGGACGCACGCCTCCAAGGATGTTCGCCTCCACTTCTTTATATTCTCATGGTGCTAGTATGACCGAGTGCGGGCCATGGGAGGGGGGAGGGGGGAAGGGGGGAGGAACCGGGGGCAACGTTAGAGAGGGGGGATGGGCTTGGCAAGGGGGAGCACCGACCCCCCAGTGCCCACTGATCGCGACAGGGTCCTGATAGCCCGCTCCGCCCAGGACCGGGTGGCTTCAGCACCGAGAGCCAATGGCCCGTCTGCTCGCGATGCACGGCCGATTTTCCAGGAGTCGACGCTCCCCCCCCCCCCCCTGAGCCGGTCCCCCCCCCCTGTCCTTGCCCTGAAGGGCGAGGGGGGAGGGAGGGGCAGGGCAAGGAGGGCGATGGGGAAGCAGGGGATGTGAGTCAGGCGATCGCAAACATGGATCAGGGGGGCGTGGATCAGCGACGGGCCCCGATTCCATGAGAAGTCGCGGATCTCCGCCGCCGAGCGGGGCGGCGACGGCCGCATGTCGGGGAGGGCACCTCCCCCGATCCATGGATGTGGCGACCGCGCGCCAAGTCCATGGATCGCCAGTCCAGGCCTGCGCGCCCCCGGGCTGTGAGGACGAGTCGCGCGCCGCCTCCCCTCCCCCCCTCGGCCCCTCCTGCTGCTGCCGGGGCCGCCCTCCGAGAGCGAGAGGCGCACCGGCTCGGGACTCGGCTCGGCGCGCGCCCCGCCCCGGCGAGCGCCGCCGGCTGTATGTGGGAGGGGCCCGTCGCTGTGCGTGTTGGGTCTGGTTTTAAGGCGGGCCTGTCCCTCTACAGGAGGATCTGTCCAGAAAGAGTCGAACAATGATAGCAGGGGGACGATTTTCGACCATGCGTGACCTATTTTTGATTTTACGCCCGACATCAGAGTCTGGTTGGCATGTGTGGTACAGACCTGCGCGCTGCTGGTGCTCGGCACCGAGCCCCGGGGGGAAGGTGCGAGGGGGCGGGCCTCCTCGGAAGGCTCGGAAGTCCCCCCGCCCTCGGCAATTCGCGAGCCCCAGGGGGGAAATGC